TGCGCAAAAATAAAAGCTGTGCATTCATTGTTATCTTCTCTGTTCATCCCAGAATATTTCTCGTAAAGGTTGTCCTTGCAGGTAAAATTGCGTATCCGCTAGTAATAACATAGTTTAAATTCAAAGATTAAATATTGACACTTTCCAGCTGCTCTCTCCCATGCTGCAGCGCGTCACATTTCCAAAGGCATTACTTATTCACACAGTCTATTTCTGCATTGTATTGACAAACACAGCCTCGTGATGAATATGTAAACAGAAGAAAGGGAATTAAACATGTTGATATAGTTTTAGATGAAGTATTTACACAAGCTCTGCAGTGAACCGGATGGTGCGGCCCATTCTACTCCAGCGTCGGCCTACACACCAGGAAGAGTGGGCAGCGATGATTTATCTAGTCAATAAAGATGAAATGCACATGTGAAGCAGCTTGTGTTATGAAGCAGAGATGAGGGCAGAGGACACTAAAGATTCTTTTGAACCCTTGTCATTTTTATGGAATTGCTGAAAGGATTTACACTTCATAGCATCCACCTCAAATATTATCATTTCAAACCATTCAATAGAAAAATTAATCGACAAAATGATTGGTGAAAACTATTCCGACATTAAAGGAGCAGTATGTAAAAAATCTGGCCAAAAGTGGTACTGCAACTTCTCCCACTCTTCCTGACCCAGGTTGCCAGATATGCAGACAAATCCTAGCCTGACTCTTGCCAGACCCATGTAGTTCGCTGCACTTCACACATGAGTCTGGTACTGAGCCATAGTGGTTGGATTTCAGAAGGCAGGGCCTTGTAAAAAATATCCTTGCATGTGATTGGATCAACCACTTGTCCGTTATCTTGAATGAAGTCTGCTTTCAACCTCTCACACCGAAGCACACGGCTCCCATAGGTTGCCAAATCCCAGCAAGATTTCCCAACCCAAAATCAGCGAGAATACCCAAAAAAAAAAAACACTCTGGCTAAAAACGTAATGTAATCAACTTGGGCTATCATGATTCTGTTTATTGTCTTTCTGTTTATTTAATACCTACAAGTCTCTTGGAAAAAAATATGCAGGAACCACCAAACCTGGCAACCCTGCTGCATAGTGTGTAAACAGGAACACTGAACCAGTGCTTCAACCAAACTTTACAGGAACATTTGACAGTTAAAACACACATATATCAACATAGAACCATCAACATCTCGCCTCAAATTGCATTAAAAGTGACATCCGTGTCTTAATTCGATCGTATTTACTCTTTGAAAAGATTCGCAGACTTTACGTCCGCCATCTTGGATTCCTCTCGCTGCTGCATGAGAGAAGCTTGAGAAGGCAGTGCAAACCCCACGTAACACCGGCAATCCTGATTGGTTGATTAAAAAATAATCTGGGGAAGGCGTTCGCTATGGCGTCGATACCAGACCCATGTGGTTCAGCCAAACGCCTCTGGTGGAGCATGGCGGAACTACAAGGATCTGGCAGAGCCAGGCTAGACAAATCCAGCTGGGAAAATAATATCTGAGAGTTTTGTAAAATTTTAACCAACACCTTTTTCACAAAGGCCCTGAAAGAAATCCTTGTTTTATTCCTTGTTTTGTAATCAATGATTTGAGGATCATAACGAGACCGTTGTTCATCATGGACTTTTTGATTGGTAAAACAGTGGGGGGCGGGACATCAAAATGAAAACAATTACAAGATTTATGGGCTGTAAAACTAATTTCTAAATTCAAATATCTCAGATGAACTACTGTTATCAGTTAAAGAAGTATTGGAAAAAAGCATGGTTCATTAATACCTTTTGACGGATTAGGGCCCTTTAATGATGACTTGACCTGAAAAGATTACATACTGCTACTTTAAGTATGTGTCCAGGTGGAGTGCAATATTGCAATATTGCTTTGTCAGGAAAAATAAATGAATAAAGTTGTTATATCTGCGTGGACACCAGCTTTAAAGAGAAGCTAAAGATACATTTCATGATTTGGGCTCTTACACTTAAACAGGTTGAACACATTTTAACCCCACACTCTGGTGTTAGATCGAAAGTGTGAATGAGGACCATTTATGCTCCATAAAAGGACTTTTATATTTGACCGCTCTTCAGCCTGGTTCACACCACAGAATAATTAGGCTCATTTTCAGATCTTTTATTTTGAAGTCAATGGGCTTCATGGGCACTGCACTTGAGCCAACATTTACACATTGTCATTACATGTTTTAATGTCATACTTTGCTGAAATATTCCATACAATCTAATCGCGTTATGGCAACAAGCAAGTAGCGGACTCCCCTCTGCATTTTCACTGTACCCTTTTTTAGCAAGTGCAATACAAGGAAACTTAATATTGAATGGCGATGTGACAGCCAGATTCAGTCTGAGGGAACATGGAGGTGTATAATGTATGTGAATAATTTATAAAATATGTTGGTTTTGTAAGGCGTGTGAGCAAAGAGAAGAGAGGAATGATGTAACTGAAGAATACTATTACACAGCTGTACTTGGGGAGCTCCATGCCTCTTTTATACATATTATGATTTATGAGTTACAAAAATTACAATTCCATGTTACATGCGTACAAAAAAGATGTCCAGAGGGATTATGTCTCTCAGCTGGTCTGGGAACACCTTTCTCTAAATGAGCTGGAGGATGTGTACGTACAGTGTTTGGGAAGTCTGGGCTTCTCTGTTTACAGTGCTGCCAGGCAATGGATAAAGTGGAAGAAAATGGGCGGTAAGAACTTTTATGTCATGCTCTGAAAATATATCATTGTTGTTATCATCGTATTCCGTTCAATAATGCTGTATAACTTAGACTAAACTGTAACCATTAATGAGCACAAATCGTTTAGAGATGCCGTTGCTATGGTAACACCGGGCATCACAGCACAGCACAGCAAGCATGCACTGACGTCCTTTGGTCTCCTGCTGAGCTCGGACTGGCTCAAGCAGGAGCAGACGCATGGTTCTTCCTGCTGTAATCACTGAGCGTTTAATGCACCTAAAATGACGTCTTCCAGAACGTCTTACATAAGTGTTGTAGTCTCCTTTCTTTGTAAATTCAGTCACGTCCAAGTAAAGCTGCAGTCGAGCTGAATAATACATCTGTACTTTGCAATCCAGACCTCCACCACTTTTTAAAAATATGTTATACCTTCTATTATCTTATATTGTTTACATAGGCATGCAAATCGTCACATCTATCAACAGGTTTGCTGATTGGACGAACAACAGAAAACGCGTGACCATGGGCTAATTGTCGAGAGCTCAGCAGAGACAAAGCTATTTCAGCGTTTTTACTCTATTGAGATTTAGATGATACATGTGGGGACAGAGGGGCTAAGTGCTTCTTGCGGCTGCACAGGCTTTGTCATTTCATATTATTCTGACTGTACATGGATTGATAAAACTGCAGAACGCATGTGGCTGCAAACAGTGCAATGAACGGGAAAAACATTTGAGAGAGTGGATGATTTGAAGCATAGAAATTGAACTGACATTTGGGAAAAACGATAACGAGTGAATTTCAGGATTCTAACCCTTGCAGACAATATCTATGAGGAAGGAGTTGAGTGAAGACTATTCATTCAATAATTAATAATATGCTATATGTTTGGCCATAAATGAATAAATTGAATGTGAAATAATGTCTTGAGCAGAAAATATATGGGGGAAATAAGTATAAAGTGTGAGAAATGTGCTCTGCCTGTGACTCCCTATGCTACCACAAGAAGGAGGAGGTTTTTTTTCTCTTTTTGATTACTGGCTGCAAACTAGCTGCCAATTACAAGCTGTAAACCGATTCTAAAGAGTAATGTCCAAAACAAGTTCATAGGAAATACCTTTGTTTTAAATGGTAGAAAACTATGTGTGACATCAGAGAGATACACTAACATCCTACCGTTACAGGAACTGATGGTATTTCATGGAATCTACGTAATCTTTCGACTTCCCAAACTGATTCTCTTTACTCGTTCATGAGAAAGTCACAGAACTGCTGAATATGAGAAATACACGATAACATGTTGTTCCTTATCATAAAAAGTGCTTATACAATCTTAGATATTTCTGCAAAGCTTCTGTGTCTATATAACAATTATTATAATGAAGTGGTTTTGGGCTTAAACCATCAGCGTGATATAAAACACCTCCGCTCTATAGTTTGTCTTCCTTCTTCCTTCCATCCATTCACAATTTGACACGTCTTCTAACCGGAGATCTCTGGGACCATTGATCCAGCCCTGGTTTACGACTTGAATTTCCAACATGAGCAGCATTCATTCCCAATTTTCCAAGTGGGAAGTCATATTTTTTTCTGTATGAAAGTGGCAACAGACAGGAGTTTTTACTGAGAAGATTATTAAGTTCCTGATATTAGCGTGGACAGACATAAAAAACAGGTCTGCTTTTGACGAGTGAACAATAATGCAATGTGTTTAAAAAAGCAAAATATGTCTTCTTTAAAATGTAGTAAGTAAGTAAGTAAGCTTTATTTATATACCGCCTTTCACAGACCAGAGTCACAAAGCGGTTTACAATTGTTATTTTTTGGGCACTTGTCCTCTCACTCCACACAGAGATGGGAGCGGGGTCGCCGAACAGGAGGCGCATGCCAGACCTATTGTACATATTTTTAGTGGTAGGGGAAACCGGAGTACCCGGAGGAAACCTACGCAAAAAAAAAATGCAGAGCAAAATGGTAACTTTTAGGGAATGCATATACATTTGAAAATAAGTTTAATATAGCCGACTTTGCTGATCGACAATAAAATCCACAAGTAAAATCCAGTGAGCAAAATTTTTATGAGAATGAGAGGAGCTGATAGAAAAGTGTAAAAATGTCAATGTGTTTGTGGAGTGAGATATAATTACAATTTGTTATGATGTGTAGCTTGTTTACTTGTTCTATTGTCAGATTTACTTGAGGTTAATGACATAGTTATGGTTAGGGAGGCTGAAGCATGGGTTTTGGGTTAGTAAGGGACATAGAAGAGGGGTAACAGACAAACCTTCTGGTGCTGAGCTCTCTTTGAGGACGGCTTGCTTCAGTGGGCAGCAGAAGATTTCATGACACTTTGCGCGAAACGGGGACCCTTTACTCCTTATATCCGCGGAGTGGATGGAGTCCTGCCGTAACATAATGTACTCCTGGGTACCTGGGGCAGCGTCATCCTGGACTGCAGCGGCGCCATAACAGAATGAATGTGGGGTTAGAAGGCTCACCACAAAAAGCAAACAAAAAACAAAACAACAACCACAAGAAATGCACAATGCAGAGAACATAAAAGAACACTTTAGAGTTAGCTTCAGGACTGAGCATATGGAGAAAACAGCTGTAAAGAAAGGGTTAGCACAGGAATAGAAAAGAAGCTTGGAGTGTTTGCAGCTGGTCTTGGGGTGACTATGGAATGACTTCAGAGGTTCAGACTGTGAGGAGAAGCAGGCAGGCAATTATTGGAGAGGTGCATCATCCGTATACATTCATTTAACCTTTCCCCTCTTAGGGCAAGCAGATGCAAAACATGCACATGCCTTATCAGACGCCATTTCATTTGTTTTCCATGAGTGTACACTTTTCTCTGTGTGCTGGACCTGTCCTGTTGGATCTGCCCTGTGCCCAAGGCAGAGGACCCATTTGGCTGTGATGATAAATCTATTTTACTCCACATGATGGATTAGCTGCCAGTCTGCTCCAACTGTGTCATAATGCTCTCTTAATACAAGTCTGCTCTGCCTCTGTTTGAGTTGAACTGTTTATTGAACTAAAACTTTTGATTGCAGCGTTTATTTCCCACAGAGACACTGATCCATCATGATGTATTTTGTTAAAGGGAAATGTTATTATTATCTACCAAAGTGGAGGGATTCAGTCTGCAATATCGGAAAGTCGAAACATACAGAACTTCATTCTTGATTCTTGAACAAAAATAATTGCGTAATATCAGTGTTTACTTTCTGAAAATGTACACATTAAGAAAACCTCCCTCTATGTTATTACACTATTCATTTGTGCCAAAATTCCTGAACGATACTGTCAAATCCTGCATGTCTCATAAAATAAGAATTCAAAAAACAACAGAAGACGTAAAATCTTGAATTCCGTAGATTGTAGATTACTCTAACCCGCATGGTAAGCTCTAAAATTCCTCTTTTAGTGCATAAAAGAATGAGGAAAACAATTATACCAAGCACATTTATCAGATTATGTCACCTTAAAGCATTTGCTGACAAAACGTCCCGTCTAAGCACATTCAAAGGTTGACGCAAACACTTTTTGTGTCAAAGTACAAAAGCTGTTAAAAGACCACAGACATATCAATTGGTCAGCATTGTCTTGTCTCATACATGTTTGGGACCTAGCGTCTCATTTGCAGCAGTCTCCATTGTGCAGTGGCATTTAGCTGACAGCAGCCTCCCCAGCGCCTTTGGCCCATAAACCACAGCAGCCGCACGGTGAGCAGCAGCAGATAATCAGGGCTCCACACCCGGTGCAATTAATCACTACATGCCTGGGCTCCCGTGGGACGCATCACACTGGGCTCTGAGTGTGAGGCGGACGGGCAGCTCTCTCTGCAGCCTTCAGACATGTTGAGCCAGTTCTTCTTAAACTTTAACGTTCTCTCGGATGGCACAGACGATATGACTTTCCTCTCCCCCAACACGACCCAGATCTGAGCTAAGTACCACAGAGGGTTCACTGTATCCAGCAGGAGACAATTACAGCCAGGATGAGCTCCATCGGAGTACTACTGTCGTCACAACGTTACAGTAATAAGCTCTCTCTAAAATTGATGAACGGTCGACATCAGAATATAGAAGCAAATCCAACAAAAAAGTTGTATGTGTTCGATTATTTTTGATAATAAGTAAATTCTGTGATTTTTCTTTCCTTTAATCAATTAATTATTTAGAATGGCAGTTTGATATTTGATCTCAGTTTGACCTAGATAAAGCTGAAATGAAGCTATCGGGGGAAATTCAAATAGACTTCTTTCCAGAAATGGCTATTTCATCATTTAAAGACATTTACACCATTCCTAACTGTAATTTTGTATGCAAACATTTCCTTTTTTGTGTGTTAAATCAACAAATCTAAAAAAATACATACTGTGTTTGAAGTTTGTATAAAGAGGAGCTGACTATTGAGTGACTAGTAAAATTAGTTTGTATTAAATGACATATAGCAATAATGTTTTACAAATGATATTAACAATGTAATCGGCCAATTATAAAACATTGACCTGTAGAAGAAATGTACAGCCATTGAAAGGAAACGGTAGACCTGTTTGCACACAACCGAACCGGTCACAAAAATAAAACTTTGCAAATGTGACAGGGGCAAGAAAGAAATGACCTGGCTTCAATCTGTTGATCAATTCAATCAATCAATTGCCAATCAACTAATCTTGGCTCAAAACATCTATTAACTGGTGCTAAACATAAATGTAGTTAGTAATGCATGCATGTTTTGTTTGTTTGCACAGATAAATGCAGCTAGCTCTAACATTTTGCAAATTCTGTCTCCTAATAAATCTCCCACACTGAACTCTACGTAATAGAGCTTGACAAAATGCCTGCGTGTCACCCAGGGAGACTAAGCACCCTCTGGAGAACTTCCACAAATGTCCAATTCGGGCCCCGGTTTTATTAATGATCTCGCTAACTGCCGCCTCATCCGTGGCAATAAAAGTGAGTGACGCGAGTGGAGAGAAGAGGAGGAGGAGGAGGAGGCATCGGCCGCCATCTCTTACAGGCTGTCTTCTTGATTCTGAGCCCGGTCTTGATGAAGAGCAGGGACGTTGAGTGACGGATGTGTGGCGGATGACACAGCAACGGTAGAGGGTCTTAGCGCTCACCCCACATCAGAGTGAGCTGTCAGTGAGGTCCATAATAGCCTGTGATCTACACTTCTCACACCGGACCTTCAGTGCTCTGCAATGGATGTCCTTGCTGCTCCGTTGGTCATAAATCTCACCACTAAAGAGGCAAAGAGGCTGATGTTGTGTAGGTGTCTTGTCTTGTGTCTTCTATTAAAGGTGCCATGCCTGCTCCGGTTTTACAATAACAACATGACCTTTGCGTGAATTTACAGCTACTTTCGCAAAAAACATGCAATGGTGAAAAATATATGCGTGGTGTAACAGAAGGCTTTTATGTGACAAAGCATCTTCAGTCTCATAAACGCCATAAGGAATAAGGTTCAAGGACGAGAGTAATCAAGCGGAGTACTGTCAAGGCCTCCCCAAGATTAACGGCTTCCGCGACATATACAGCGATACGATCTGAGGAGTTTGGGCAGAGACAGGGCCCCGATCCATCAGGAAGGTGAGCCACATTCATCATGACTGGACCAAGAGTGTACTCATAGAATTAGGCTCAGAATTAAGCACATGGTGGAGTGGCTTCTGGGTCCAAAATAGCATGGCCTGGATGTAGTTTTTACCACAAGCACAAACGAGCACATTGTCTTCTGAGGATGGCTTCAGAGTAGTGTTCTTGGGCATTCAAGGCAATGAAGAAGTTTTTTACAATTATTGATAAGAACAAATCTGAGTATGTTGACCTCACTAGATTGAAGGTCTACTTAAATTTAACCCTGCCTTTTTTGTTAAACCAAAAGTGCAGCTATGATGAGTTCTCTGTTATCCCCGCTGTTATAATGTTTTGTTGCTTTATGAATTCAGGTGGCAATTCATGTGATGTTTTCAGATGTAGTTTGTATAAAGGTTAGAAAAGGTGTCCATAACAAAAAAATCAGATCGCTCGACTAAATTGTTCGAAAAGATCTGAAGTAAACCAGATTATAAAACCCTGTAGCAGAAGACAAGGTCATGGGACAAGGTCATGGGACAAGGTCATGTTTAATAGGTCAACAATGTTTGGGGATGCAGGCGACCCAACTTCCATCTGGTCTGTGAAAGGTGCTATATAAATAAAGATTACTTGCTTACATGTCAAATATCACAAATAACTGATTGCGGACTGACTGGCTAGTACTATGTTGCCATCACGGTACTAACCAGGCCCTGCCCTGCTTAGCTTCTGAGGACAAATGAATTGGATTACTAGCATTCATTGAGGATCCATGTCTCTTCCTCAGTGAGTCCTCTTTCACGGCAGAAACCAAAGCCCCAACCGGAAATATCTGATTTGTTTTATTCGCACATATTAAAATTATTTTGTATTACAGAACAAGAAAATATACGTGCTGGGGGAAGAAAAAAAAGCCATAATTATAGTAGTAAATGATAACAATAACAAGTCTTATACATCAAATCATAGCATAACTTGATACCGAAATGATAAAGATTAGAGCCAATCGCAGTTAAACAAAAATAACAATAATGTAACAATTCATAACACAATTTTAGAAATAAATAATAACAATATCACATACGATAATAATAGTAACAAATTATGACAATATAATAATTGATTGCATACAAATATAAAAATTACATATTAAATCATAACATAATTCAATATTGAAATAATATAGTTTAACACAAAGTCTATCGTAGTTTACAAAACCATAGCAAATAAGTGTAAGGTGAGGAAAAAAAATGAAATTCAACTTAGAGGGCTGGGACATGAAAGTAGGTGGTTTTTGAGATTTTGTTTGAAGCAATTCAAGGATGTAATACTTTTCAGATGTAGAGGGAGGTTGTTCCAATTAATCACACATTTGTATTGTACACTATTTTGAGCTAGACTTGTTTGAACTAGGGGGATATGCAGGTTTTCTCTCTGTCGAGTAAGTAAGTAAGTAAGTTTTTATTTATATACCGCCTTTTCACTGCAGATCTGAGTCTCAAAGCGGTTTACAATTGTTAATTATGGGCATTTGTCTCTCACTCCACACAGAGATGGGAGCGGGGTCGCCAGTACAGGAGGCACATGCCAGAACTATTGGACATATTTTTAGTGGTAGGGGAAACCGGAGTACCCGGAGGAAACCTACGCAGACACGGGGAGAACAGGCAAACTCCACTCAGAAAGGCCCTGGTCCGACCGGGATTCGAACCCAGGACCTTCTTGCTGAGAGGCGAGAGTGCTATCCACTCAGCCACCGTGCCGTCGAGTTTGGTAAGCGTGATATATTTCATAACTAGAAAGCTATCAAACGTATCTGGTAGAGA